GCAAATCTATGCCGTTCTATTCTATTAGAAAAAAAGAAATAGATAGAGACGCTTTCGAAAATCGCGTTGACCGTTAATTACCCCTCTTTCTCTCCTGTTATTTCGTGTTGAAGCGTTGAACTGGAAGTGTTCTGTTTAGTTAATTTCGTTTTCGTTTTGTATTATAAGAAGGAAGAAAATTCAAGCGCTGTTGTTTTAAGAGGTAAGCATTTTTTAATTCGGTACACTATAGGTTAATACTTATACATTTTATTTCTAGGATTTAATTTTAAACACAAACGTAAAGCCTAAGGGAGATATAAGTGCAACAACTTCAAGATTCATACAAAATGTGTGTAAGTTTTTATGGTTTTTACTACAACTCATTAAATTATTGGATATATTAAATTTTTAGGCCCCAAAGACATTTGTGAAACGTGCATAAGACTTCTGAAGTTTGAAAATTTATCATCGGAAGAGTTCGACGTAAGCAGCATGTATTGGAAATTCGCTTGAGTGACATAAAAAACGCACAAAAATTCAGATGATAAAATGAACTTATTACAAACGACCATCTGGATATAGCTTGGTGAGTACCTTCAATAGTATACCTACCTATACACCGTGCTTCATTCGCGATTGCAACATGAGCATTTCTATGAGTTGAACAAAGAAATATTAGTAAAATAACAGTTGTCAGAGTGAAAAGTTGCAATGACATATTATCATACTGTTTCTTTTTCCTTTACAAGTGTCTAATTGAAGTTATCTTTGTTGCACCCATAGCCTATGTTGCAATGAACAATGGAGCAATCTATATACTTACTGGATATGTAGATAGGAATTTACAGTCTACTATATTAACCCATAATTTTTTTTAGATCGATATGGATTTCGCCCCAGCGTATGATGCAAAGAATTTTATGGAATAATTCGAAAATAATTCTTCGAAGATTGACCAGTTTCTTCTAGCAATAATACAAAAAATGTAAATTCGTTAATTTAATAAATCAAATTCATTAATTCAATGTACTGCGTTCATTAATTCAAAAGCTAAAATTCCTTAATTCAATAAAAGAAATTCATTAAACCAAGATCTAAGTTTCATTGATTCTATGAAAGCATTTCATTGAATCAATGTACTACATTTATTAGAAAAAATCTAAAAATTTGTTGAATCAGTGTACACCGTTCATTAAACCAATGTAAAATATTACATTGAATTAATGTACTTCTTTATTGGGTCAGCAACTTTAATTCATCGAAACAATGATTTTCATTTCATCATATCAACGAATTATACATCACTTAATGTACCTCTTCATCGCTTAATGAACAAACGTTCATTGATTTAATAAAATCGTTTATTGGACGACTTTTAATGTAAAAATTTCTTGGATTAATGTATTTTTTCATTATCTGCACGTACTTTTTTGGTTCAGTTTACAAGCGCAGCGTCCAATTTCGACGGCGCTTCACGCCCGACGACTTCGATTTAATTGAAAGAGTTTAGCCGGGGCGCTCTGTCTGTAATGTAGACCCTCTTCGGGCGTCGACGTCTCGCCGCGTCGCGACGGCGGCTTTGCCATTCAAATGAACTGCGGACTTTTTAACCGGCGTTTTCTCGGGCTGCGGGCCCGTCGAAATTGGGAGGAAATTTGAATGGGCGCGCTTTGTGGTGGAGCGCCTTGTCGAGGTGTTTTATTGGTTTTCGAGCGGTGATATTGCAGGGATTTGATTTGATTGTCTCGAAACTAGAAAATATTCGCGTATTTAAAGGAACGAAGTTGATGATGGTTTTCAGCACAAAGGAAACGTCTGAGGAGGAAAAAGTAATACTAGAATTAAATTATTAATTCAATGTATCTACTTTTATTTATTTATTGGCGCACCCATAAGACTTCCAGAAGATTTTATTAATTAATAACCGTATAGAATTAATAAACGAGTATAATTAATAACCGTTTAGGAAAGTAAAGAACCGTTTACAATCGTCCAGAACCATTTATAAAAGTGCAGATCCATTTGGAAATGTCCGGATCCATTTACAAAAATCCAGAACCATTTAGATGAGTACAGAACAATTTAGAAAAGTCTAGAACCATTTAGAAAAGCCCAGTACTGTAACTGTAATTACTTATGAAAACTTGTAAAAACTTTTTGCAATACTACATGCAATAAAATTTTGCAACACTACATGGAAATATCAACTATTTTTGTCATGTATTTTGTAAAGGTAAAATAGTAAAATATTCCTATACCAAGCCATTTATAAACGTCCAGAACCATTTAGACAAGTCCAGAATTATTTAGAAATGTCCAGAACAATTTAGAATAGTGAATAAACCATTTATAAAAGTTCAGAGTCATTTAGAAAAATCTAGAAATATTTGCAATTTCTTTCAGAATCTACAGAAGGCTATATTTAGATTTTTTAACTGAAAAAATCGTTTAAATCTTGTAAAATCTAGTAAAATCTTATAAAATCTTATAAAATCTTATAAAATCTTAAAAATATTTATAAAAAAATCTTGTACACTTCAAGAAGGTTTTATTACTAGATGCCTCCTGATAGCAAACGGAGTATAATTATTAACCAAACCTTCCTAATTAATTAACATATTTACAAGTATAGAAACGGGTCTGGTTTAATAATAATATAATAAATAACTACAGTGAAAGAGAAAGTGCGGAATTGAATGCCGGGCCCCGGCAATAATTATCGTCAATTATGTCGTAATGTAGCCAAGTCTATATGGCCTAATTAATTGATTAATTTAATCCCGCGTTAATTATCGGCAACGGCCTCTAATTACGAACACATTATCAGCTTCGCGAATGTAATTTTGTTCCGATTGGGCGGATGCAATCGGCGTGTCTAACCGCACCGGCACACGGCTGTTTTATTATGCAAATGCCCAGGATTTTCGGTTAGGTTCAATTCCTGTCGATGATTTTCTCCAGTAGATTTAGTCGGTATTTTGCTATTTATAACCACAGTAGGTGCAACTTTAGTGGTTGCATTTTATGTAGGTATATTTATGCAAGTGTAGGTATATACAGAATTACAGATGAATATACAGAATTGTACTAGGTACTTTAAAAACAAGGGATAAAAAGAACTTTAAAAATTCTTTTGGAAAATTAACTTTTTTATCAATATTTAAGTCTTCAGTGTTAAAATAACTGTGTTCATTGCTTAAATAACATAACTAATCCATTCAGAAATCCTTAAAATAATCCTTAGAAGTATAGAAAGTAAGTTAAAACATTCAGGAAACTCTCAAATAGTATTACAAATTCTTAACTAGAAACTTCAGTGGTTGCATATAGAATATTTAGAAAACTCCCTACTACTCCCTAAAACTACCATACTATTAAAAACTGCTTTAAAATTCTTTTAAACATTAAAATTATCATTTTACCAATTTCTGCTCCTTAAGCCTTAAAAAATCCCTATAACTTCTTAAATCCCATGACTAAAAACCATCAAAAAAAACATCAAAACCGCCCATACATCATCAGTAAGGACCTCTACAAAACAACGTCCTTAAGGAATCCTTAAACAATTTTAAACACAACAGTTCATCTGCGTTTACGACCATTTAAAACCCTCTCGAGTCCGTGGAAAAACCAAAACATCAACAGCGCGATATTTCAATTTCGAGTCCCGAACGTTCGGGATTCCCGCAAAGTGAAAATATTGGCGCACGTCCAGGCCACATTTCACCGTCGCTTCGACGACGCCCGACGTCGGGCCATCGAAAGCCTACAGCGGATTCCAATTCGAAAATCGGGAGATATTACACACAGAAATGGGATTTAAATGTTCCATTCAAGGAAATGATAAAGCTTTCACGTCGAACGTTCCTCTATATTCATGGGTTTCCTTCGCCTCGATATAATAGAGTCGTTTTTGGAGGATTCTTTTGTCGAATTTTCAGCGTGTCTTCCGTTAATAGTTTTGTAAATTTACGGGGGATGGAACAAGATGCTAAATAAATAAATATAGGGAAATAACGTTGGAATTTATTTATTAAAAAAGAATTTTTTTACGGTATTTTTTACGGATTATAGAGGATGATAATTAATGTTATGTATAGTTTAATAAGTTAAATTTGCTCTAATTTAATAAAAAAAAAACTACTTAAAATTCCTTCAAATTTCACCCCTACAATTTATTTAAGAAAATTGACATTTAACGTACGCCAAAATAACGTAACGCCATATTTACCGCTCTCAAAAACAACGTTTTTGACGTGAAATCGAACGCATGAAGCGCTCGAAAGTCCCCTGAAAAGCGCCTTTCTGGCGGAATATTCGAAATATTTCCGGGCCGTATTTTTAAATCGCGCCGAGAGGGAATTATTTGCCGAACGGTTAAGGTGCATTTTGCGAACTATCGAGTACTCGAGGGAGGAAAAGCGCATTTCAGTCACGTCTTTAATAAATTTAGTTAGGGTGATTTGCGCCCCGTCGAAGCACCGGATTTTGCGAAATGCTCTTATAGAAACGTTCCGAATCGCTTGAATCAACAAAAGAAGATTCGAAAGTCTTCTTGTTTTTAATAGCTAATTGGCTAAATAAGTTTGAAAACTTTCGGAAAATACTAAGTACCTACTTATGTACTCGTGGAATTGTTTTTGGAATTTTTGCATCTATCAATTTTTATTTATACAACTAATAAACGTAGAATAAAAATTCCACTGATGTTTATTCAGTACTTTTTAATATTCCTCTTTGAAGTTTCATCAAAGCTTCAATACAATTTAATTCAGGATTATATTAATTCGAAATATAAAAGGCTTCGTATCGTTCGAAACGCGCCGGTAAATAACAGGTATTTTACAGCTCTTTTGTGACTCGCATTGCACACAAAAAGCCAATTTAAACTCTAAACTTCTCTATACCCTTAAAACTATATTATAAACCTCCCGATGCTCGTGCTCGCTGTTTAACAATACCAACAGACCACTTTTCAATTAGGGAGCGATGGGGTGATTAAAAAATTGTCGTTTCAGGTGCCGGCCTACACGTCGGAATGGATCACCTCGGTGGAGGATCACTTAGAGAGGAAAACCGGGCGGTTAGAGCTGTCGGGCGTCGGCGGCAGCTGGGGCACATTGAGGCTACGTTGCGAAGCCACGTTATTTAGATTGTACCGTGCCTATAGCTTAGAAGTCGAAGTCCGCCCGGACACGCCCCAACCAGCCTCAGTACTACTGGGACCAAGTAATAAAGGTAAAGTTATTAATACCTTCATCATCATCTTCATCAACTCCTTCATCGTCTCCCTCATCATCTCCTTCATCACCTCTTTCATCATCTCCTTTATCATCTCCTTTATCATCTCCTTCATCATCTCCTTTATCATCTCCTTCATCATCTGTGCCATAACATCCTTATTACCGTCATCATAACTATTCCACATCATCAATTCCATCCAATCCTTATTACTTTAATTAATCCTTATTATCATTACCATTACCATCATCATCACTTTTACCATTTTCATCGTTAGATATTATCTAGTCATCATCATTACTACCATTATCATTTATTCTGTAGATTGTAGATTTTAAATCTTTCTTTTTACTTCTCAATTTTTGTGCCATTTTTTTTCATAATTTCAAAAATCGACCAAAATACAAAAATTCCAAAATTTATCCCAAAAAAATCTCTTTAATAAACCAAAATCGCTTCAAAATAATGAAACAAAAAATTTAAAAACGCCGGAAAATAATCTCCTTCCAATCACATTCCCCGACTTATAAGTCAATAAAAACCCCAATAAAATTGATAAAAAAAATCGCTCCGTGAAGCAAAATCGCGGCAATTTCGCGGATTCGAAATTTCCGCGTCCCTTTCCGGCGATAGACCAGCCTCCCTTTAGGGGCGCGTAAATTTCTAATTCGATTTCGAATTTTATTTTTCAGGTGAAAAAAGCGCCGCGTCGACGAATCGACTTTTCTACCTACTTTTGTCGCTGATAGCGGTGAGGAGCCGGAGGTGCTAGTCGAATCGGATTTGTCGCTAAACAAATATAGTTCAATAATCAAATGAAAAAAATTAAAAAAAACGTGTTTTTGCGCGTCGTGAAATATGTGTTTTATAATTGAATCCTAGCGTTTCGGGACTGTGTAATATAAAAGTGAATCGAATCAAAATAGTGGAATCTTTTACGCGAAAATGTGGAAATTTCGCTTACGCCCGTATTCACAAGTTTCGTATAATCAAACAGTTTTGTAACCAACCGATTGTATATTACCGATCGTTATATTTCAATCGGTATTCAAAAGTCGATAAAACCAATTGGTTACAAAACTAATTTGTAAATATGGCAACGTTGATTATTTGAATCGTTTGAACCGGTAGAAGTATCAAATTAACCGGTTGGTTAAATTTGATATAAACAACCGGTAATGTTATAATCGACAGTTCTGAATACGGGCATTAATGTTTATAAAGAAAATAACGAATTTTACCGGTGATCATGCTAACAAAAGCGACATCGAACGATTTTTTAATCTCCAAAATTAATTGTATTACCTCTATAGGAATTTACAGATGTAAATTTGTAAATTTAACTGGTTAATAAATAATAATAATAATAATAATAATAATTAGATATTGATTGAATTTTCACAACGTGAAAAGTTTGTAAACATATTTTTTAAATTACTGAAAAAAATTGTATTCTCATTATTTTCTACTAATACACTACTCTATGCAGATTCATACATATTTTGATGAATTTAATTTCGCTATAATCAAGGTAAAAATCGTTTATTTTATGCAAAACCGAGCAACATTTATAACTGTGCGAAATATTAAAATTAGCATAATAATCTATAAAATGTGCGAAATGTTTACAACCAATTACTACCACACTATATTTTTCCTACGACTAAAAATACTTTTTAATGCAAAATTAATCGTAGGAAAGCTACATTTTGTGTGCCGAACATTCCTCCATTTTATGCAAACTTTACCAAAAACCTATTCTATCGTATCGGAGCCAAAATGTCACCTGACTAGATATTTAATTATCGATGTAAGTTCGAACGAGCAATTAATTCGTCGAATTAATTTTGCGTTCGAACAAAACGAAAATAGCATTAATTTATTTTTCGATTCCGTAGTATTGTTGAGGACAATTTCAACCCGTGGAATTTAATTCCAATTAGAAATGTCGTCCCGTTGCGAATTCTACAAAGCATTATCGATGCAAGTGAATTATAATAAATATTATTGGATCATGGAATTTACTGGATTCGATGCGGAATGGAAAGCAATACTATGGAATTCGCAAAGAAGAGTAAGAGGAAATTTAATTTTATATATCAATAATTTTAAATTTCCGCATTAGGAATTGTGTAAATAGATTTATTGAAAAAACGCATTATTTGATAGTTACAATCATTAACGATCTACATGGTATTTTTTATGCATTTACTGGTAGATTTTTCAATAATTTCTTGAAAATATTCTCAAAAACTCCTCATACACTGGAGTACAAAAATTATTATTAATGTCGAACTCATTTACTCTACAGTGTATAATTTTTATTACCCTTACATAGCTAATAAATACTATGTAAATCTGTACAGTAACCATGCAATCTACATGTACAATTGTTATTGTAAATACATACCAGGTAAAGTTACTATAGAATGTACATTTACTGAATAAAACATTGTTGTACATAACATTTAGTATTCATTATTATTAATATTAATTTCCAATATTTCATTGCGAACTAGAAAATTAAATTAGCGCTCTTTCACAACGAATGCCGCCCGCTAAGCGCTGCAATTTGTGCGATTTAATCAACAAAACGGGAACATTGTTGCTTATTTGTTATCTATAATTGATGTACACGCGTTAAATAGACAGACAGGGATAATTTAGTTATTCGTTGTGTTGATAATTTTTGAGTGGATCACGATAGAAGAGGGTATGGAGGGGTAGAGGAGGGTAGAAGAGGGTAGGGAGGGGTAGAGGAAGGTAGAAGAGGGTAGATTAAGGTAGGGAGGGATAGAAGGAGGCAGGGAGAGGTAGATAAGGGTAGAGAAACGTAGAGGAAGGGCTAGAGGGATGGAGGGTGGGGTAGAAGGGGGTAAAAGGTGGTAGGTAGAGGCAGAGGAGGGTAGAAGAGGGTACGCAGAAGTAGGGAGGGGTGGAGGAGCTAATAATTACATCGTTGCCACGTTTAAAATAGTTTTCGAGCATTTAGGTACATTTTTTTCTAACGCAAAAATCCATTTATACTAAATACTTTTCAGTGCAATTTTCATTAAAATACCGAAATTGACACCCTTTTTGAATTATTAGGATATAATTCATCTAAAAAATGCGGCAATTAGTTAGTAAAAAACACCAATTTGTTTAAGAGCCGGGAAAAAATTCAATGACCCGAATTCAAGAAGTTGGGCGATTTTTTACCCGTTTTACGGAAAATAAAAGATTTCGGCAATCGTGAGAAACGCCATTTGTTGGACCTATTTTATCGACTTTTGTTCTTTCTTGTCCCTACATCGCCGGACGTTAATTAATTGCTCGAGTTTTTGTTGCAAATTACATTTCTTCTCGAGTGCTAACAATTAATGATGTCACAGCTTTTTCATAGTTCCTCCAATTAATCACTCCTTTATTTTCATCCAGAGACTTTTAATACATCTATCTTATATTAAATATCACTAATTATCATCACTAATCGTTTATAAACGCATTATTTATACACATTTAAAAATATTCAGCTTGTCTCTTCTCTCTTCTGCTCTCTTCTACTCTCTTCTGCTCTCTTCTGCTCTCTTCTGCTCTCTTCTACCCTTTTCTCTGGAGTACCTACTATAAGTTTACTTTGAATTTTATGTTATTTTAATGTTACTCCTAAAGAATTCCTAATCGCTTCAGAATTTATTTTAGCGATATTCCCGGAAGTTTTATATCTCCTGCGAGCAATTCTTCCACTACAATAGATTTAAGAAGTCGCAACGAGCCGGAATTATCATCTTAGCGCGAGATAAAAAAGTGAAATATTTTAATTTTGATAAAACGCCGGGGTCCGTTTTTGCGACCCGCGCCGCCTAATCTGCGTTTTAATTTGAGTAATTGGAGTTTTAATTTAATTTCCCGCAAGCTTCGAGTTGATAGAAATTTTCGGCCATTACTTAAATTAAAAAAAAAAGGTTTAATTTGCATTCCGAAATTTATAAATAGAACCGATTAATTCCCGGTTGTTGTTGCTTCCCCTTATTCCGGGCGCGGCGTTTTTTTAATAAACTCGCTTCTTCGTTCGGAACCCTATCGATTTTCCAGTCGATATTTCTTCGTAAAAAGTGACTAAAGGTGTCTGGAAAAAATCCAGAAAAATATATATCAAATTTGCTGAATTTATCCTCCCGTCCGGATTCCCCGGTGTGCAGCACGTCAGAAACCTGAAACTTTCCATTGACTTTGCATGTTTGACGAAATAAGAAGATTAAATCTAAGTTTCGTTTCGACTCGGGCGATCAGGGAACCGCGTCAAAGCGAAAATTCGTCGGATATATCGTCCCGTTTTCGAGAATTTACTTCCGCTGCAAACCCTACAACTTTATTTGATACATTCGAGCACCGCAAATCAGCGTCGGATGCTCGGAAAATAAGAAACAACACCGTCTTGACGAGCCGGGGAATTTTCCTCCATTCCCCATCCAGCGCCGGACTTACTCATTGAACAGTACGTGTGGATATTTAGTTGATAATCTCGCATAAAGTCTCATAAAATACGCAAAAACCGAGCTTCTTTTTTTCTACAACGACACACTCTATTGTAGATTCGCCTAATTATGAAATATAGCTCTCCATTCAAATTAGATGCGGCCATTAATGCGCCCTTCGCATAATTCGCACATAAACCAGAAATCCGATGTAGTTGTTGCCAGCCTAATATTTCACCGCAGCCTCTCAACGAGCAGGCAACCGTGAAACATGGCGCAGTCATTAACTTTAGGGCGTCGGTGTCAACTATCAAAGTATTAATCCGCGCCATTTGCATGCTACAGTCGCAAGGAAAACGTCGAGTTTCTTACACGCGAAAAATCCGGAATCGCCCGCGATAGCGATTAGTTAAAGAGCGCCGGCGGTTTGTTCTACAGGGCGTCGAAAGGCTCGTGAATAAATCGGCGGGCTAGGCGGAATTCGGTCATAAAGCGGCGGGAGTGGGTAAAGCGTTCCGATTCAATCGAGAGAAATACAGGAATTTTAAAGAAATCCGCGGATTACCCGGGAGAGTCGAGTCGTTTCGCCCGATTCCTATGTCGAATGTTAAAACCGCTGTAGGGGTGTCGGCGGAGCGCCGGCTCCCGGGGGATCCCAGAGACAAATGTGCGGCTTGAAGTCCCGCCGGACTGGGTAGATTCGATGACGGGAAACGCGGCGATATGTAATAGTTTTTTCAGGTATTGGAGTAACGCGAGAATGTACTGGGTGATACGGAAATGCACAAAGTTTTCATCAAAATAATCGGATCATTGGAAAGTTGTTGTTCATTGATCATTGGAACGGAGTATAGAGCCAATAGAAAATCGCAAATCCTCACAAATCCTACCGAGCATGACAAAAAATTATTAATTCCAGTGAAATGAATAATTTTGGAATAATCCAAACCGCTTCGGTAATTATCGCGATACCGGGGTGCTCTAAAGCGCTTACTCGACATCAATTGACCGCGAGCCCGTTCTCAATACATCCATTAAACTTTTCCGTGCGGCGTCAGACCGATAAAACCATCAGGGCCAAAGTAACGCCGATTAACAAGTGAGGGAAAGCCCGAACAGGCCATGTTAATTAAACCGATTCGGTAACGAGCAGAGCTGACCTCGCGCTCTTTGATACATTGGCTCAATCACGGCCTTTTTAATATAATATAGAGCGGCGCTTTGATACTATACTGAGGAATTTGTAAAGTTATGTAGCAATAGAAGATACTTCTGGGAGCTAATAAATTAAAGAAGATTCTAGACTCTAATAAATGAGCTAATAAATGAAGAGGATTCTATACAAATTTAAAAGATGTTGGTGGAGTGGTGTGGAAAGGTAGAAAGAATTAGAAAATAACTGTGAGGAACTGCGGTGAAGTTAAGTAGCAAAAGAAGATACTTCTGGGATAAATGCAGAAGATTCTATTGGTACAGATTCACGTGAACTTTAATCTTTAATAGCTTCAATAGTATAATATATCTATTTTACAAGTCAAGTAAATTAAATTAAACTCAAACTGCAAAATCGTAGGTAACATCTTGAAGTATATGATACATTCCTGCTGGATTATCAGCCGGGACCTAAAAGAAATATTGTTACGGCATTTCTAAATAAGAATTTTAGATCTCTTACCATATGGCCAGATCTCACCACCCAGTACAAGGCGAAATTATTGAATTTCTTCTCGTACCCTTGATAATATCCATCAACTGCATATGGTACTCTAGTAGCCTTATTCCAATTTTCTTTATCTTTCCAATTCATATTGTAGATCCACGCCATGGTTCCTGCAAATTTTTTTTTTAATTTTCAAAGCCCGAATAATGTGTAATATGTGTACCTAGTGTGTTACAAATGAGATCGAAATCGGCAGTGTACACTGAAACTTGGATGTCAGTTTCATTCAAGAGCCTCTCGACAATATCCACGACAGGCTTCATAAAATCTCCTTCCGGGCCGGTTAGTACATCGAACACAGCCTCATCGGTGGTTCCCCAAGGCTGTGTCACGTTTAAAGCTTCTCTCACCAGGTTGTTCATGATGGAGTTCACCTTAGAATCGGCATCTGGAGGTGTACCAGGTTGACCTGGGTAATTAGTGGGATCTGAAAAAATGTACTATTAAAACCTTCGTTAGTGGTGTAGTAGTAATTAAATACCTGGTACTGATGATGAGCTCTTCTTCTTCGTGAGCACGTTGTACATGTCCACTCCGTAGGTGTTTGCTTTGATTTCGTATTCTACGCCCCTCCAGATGCCGAAGGCTTCTGCGTATTTTTTATTTTCGACGAGGTCTGGCAGCAATCGGGCCACTTTGTCTATTTTTTCGAAACCTCGACTGTCTAGTACCCCCTTCAAATGAAACAATAATAGAAGTAGTGTTGTTGTAAAATTTCGTATAACGTGTTTTCTTACCATCTGCAGAAGGAACGGAGCGTAATTCACTACGCTGTCGGCGGGAGATATCCAGGAGTCACCTAGAGCGATTCCTGTTAAATTGCATTCGATATTTCCAGCCGCTATTTCCTGAAATTAATGCATATAAATTTGGAATAATATCCCCGACGCTTTTCCAAACATACCTGGTGCAATTTTAGCGCTATTTCGACAGTCATTTTTCCCCCGTAGGATTCGGTGAATATGTAAAACGGAACTTTAGCGAAATCGGAGCGCCGTTTGAAAAACTCCTTGAGAAACACCAAGAAATCGTCGGCAATCTGGGAGTTGCTTTTAACGAGCAGGGACTCGTCCTCGACGTAGCTGAAGCCCGTCCCGACGGGATTATCGACGAATAGAACGTTGGCGTATTGCACCCAGGTGGAGGTCCGCGGTTTCAGGTCGGTGTCCAAGGGGCCCAGTTCGACGAAGTTTCCGAAGCCCGTCGACGATGAGCCGGGCCCGCCCTGCAGCCACAGGATGAGGGGCTTGTCGGTGGGGCTCGGGACGTCGGCCGTGGTGAGGTGCAGCCACCAGAAAAGGTGGGCCTTTTCCCTTACGGTCACGAAGCCCCAGTCTTGGTCTGTCGGGCCGAAACCCTGTTTGCCTATTGCATAAGGAACGAGAAATTAATGTAGGTAATAAATAATAGGTGTGAGAAATTAATAATTTTCTTACCTAATGCTGTTGTTATTACGAAAAGAACAAAAAAAGTCGCGCTAGTAACCATTTTTGAAGAGGTAAAATACTGAGATAGTTTGCGGGTTTATTCATTTTTTATCTCGTTTGTGAAGAGCCTAAGTAAACTGATAATAAAATTGATTATCATTCAAAATTTATTAGATTTTAATTGAAATGTGGTGGCTCAAAAATACGTACACAATAGGTACTTAGACATGTATCAAACACACTTCACAACAATTAAAATATTATTGTGTAAAGTTTGTGTAAACCCGAAATTTTGCTTTTATGTGTAAGAATAGAGGAAAACAAGAATAAAACATTTTAAAAATTATCTATTATTAAAACATATATACTTCAATCTTGTTTAATTGTAGAAATAAATTCGCTGGAAACTAAATAAATTATTTCTTATGTAAAAGTGGTTGCCTATTTACTGGCGTTTACAAGAAACAAACAAACAATTTATTTTTCTTTGCTATAATGATATTCGTATAAGATTTATATTGCGTTTATGAAAATCTTAATGATAAGTTTTTATAATTAATTTAGTAAAAATTGAGTCTGAATAACGCATTGATTAAGGCATTGAATCAAAAGTAGATGTTCCGTCTTCACCATGGGTGCTATTCTTGAAATTGGGAGATTTTGTCACATGTGAGAATTCTTCTTTTTTGTATTTTCGTCGAAACAGTGTTGTCTTTACTCGCTAAATTCAAGATTTTGCGGATTTTTTAGGATGTCTAAGATCAATACCTAAATTTTGAATGTATTGTGATTAAATTGGTTATTTAATTATAAATTTTCATCTATTTTAGATATATTAAATTGTTATTTGCTACAATTTAATGCGTACTTTGTTAATTATTTTTTATGTAATAAATTGCAGTCTAAGACTGCCTTGTACGGAACGGTCATTAAGACATCGGAAACCGAACATTTTTCAAAAAACCCTAGAAAGTTAGAACAATATAAATTACATATATATATGTATATATATGTGCAAATCTCACATTTTCTGTCAAAAATCTCCCCGGCTTATTTTTGGTGAGATTTTTCGTAAGATTTCGCTGTCACTTGTAGATTTATTTCGTGATTGTCTTGGACATTTTTTTGAAGGCCACTAAAATTGGCTAAAACAAGAAGAAGAGGAACAGCCATAAGCCATTTTTATTTTCGTTTGTTTTGCTGAGGCTGCTTCGAGCTTCGAACTGTGTTTATTGTTATTTATTTCCGATTGTTTTAATGTTTTGTTTTATCAGTTAGGTTTATTTTAGTATTTGAGTAAAATTAAATATTTGTAGGTAAGTAATACGCATATTTCTTTTTTCATGTTTTTCAATAAATTGTACTTTAGTGTTTAATGCTTTTTATAATTTGTTGCAGTACAAAAATGGATGATAATTTTGTTGTATTGCATCATATGATTATGCAACTTGAAGAGGAGCTAGATGATGTTGAGGATGATGGCATAAGAGTCTTCGAAAGAATTAATCCTTTCCTTATTTCGGACACGAACCCCATTAGAAACAGAACCTCAACCTAATACGGCAAATGAAAGATTTAACAATCGTTTGAAAGTACAGTGGAACGGTGTATCGGGGTCCTCAAGAAGAGATTCCGGTGCTTATTGAAAAACAGAGTATTACACTACGCATACGCACCTATAACTGCAGGGAAAATCGTCAACGCGTGTGTAATATTGCACAATATGTGTATCAAGAATAACTTACCAGAGCCTGAAGAGCCCGAAGAAATTAATGTTGAAATAGAAGTTGATGAGGTACCCCAAGCAGGACAGGAACATATCATGAGACGAATTAATTGCACGAATTGTACGAATGCAGATCTTGTGGCTGGAATAAACTTACAAGCATACATTGCAAATAAATATTTCTTGTAAATAGTTTTTTTTATTTCACCTCTTTTAATTGGTATATAAGAAATTGTTCTGTTCATTATTTTATTTGTTCAAGTATTACAGCTCCTATTGAAATTTCTTTTTTAATATTAAATATTTGTAAAAGTGATAAATAAACGTAAACAATATTTATTTATTTACGGGCAAGTCCATTTATTGTTTAAACAAATGTAATAAAGTTCAAATTGTTTAAAAAAATCAAAAAGAACAGCATAAAAAAGGATAGCATGTTCATTCAGAGAGAGGTAAGATTATTGTTTTCAATCTTTATTTATGTGGCAACGCTGGCTTACTATCGTGACAGTTATATGTCAATTTTGTATGAAAAAGAAGAAATCTCACATGTGACAAAATCTCCCAATTTCAAGAATAGCACCCCATGTCTGCTGTCCACGTCAAATGATTTGTCAGTACTGTCACCTGTCACTATTGTCACTGTCACTGTCATACTTTTTGGAATTAATTTTGTTTATTTGTATTCAACTCAGCTGTAAAGCGTATAATTGTTTAACTTTTATTTATTTCTAATGGTTGCGGTCGTTATTAACAGGTAATAGAGTCACTATATTGCCTTACGCAAATTCATGAATAAATGTTGCTCTATTTAGGTCGGCGTCAAAAACTGTTACTTATTGCCAGTGAAATTAGTGATAAATGTGTCTTATTGATGTTTTTCTATAATTAAACGATAGTTTCTTATATTTTATTATGATTTCTTCAGTCTTTCAGGTGTAATATAGTGAATTTACCGGAAGGAAATGTCCGACATTACAGACGAATTGGGGGTAAATATTTCCAAGTTTTTAACTATATAAATTGAATAATTATTACAGTGTTAATTAGTATCATGTTTTATCGATGAAAGTTGATTTCTCATAGGACATTTTCCCAAAAAAAACTCGTTTTAGTTAAAATTGCATTATCAAATGCAAATTAGGCAACTCACATTGCATATACAAGAATATTATAGTTTCTAAAACTGATAATAAAACGTTATCTTATTTCCAGACCACAATTTCGCCAGAAATTTCAAATGCAAAAAACGAAGTTGGACGACCGCCCAAAAGAGTGGGAAGACCCCCAAAACGTCTTACATATAGCTTCACAAAAGTTGATCAAACACAAGAAAAAGAATTACTATCGCTTGAAAAAGTAAATTGTCACATTGAAATTACCGCACAAAACTAATCCTTTGTTTATCTCCAGCAAATGCTGATGTCCTTTCGAATAGCCGATCTCCAAGCCCTGCTCAATTTCGCCGGTATAGAATCGTCGGGAAGAAAGTTACTGCTCCTACGAAAAGCTTTCGATCTCCTCAACGATCCCTCTAACGATATAATCGAGAAAGTCAAGGAACTCTACGCCGCTCTTCAGTAAGTATATTAGTATGTTAAAACCATTTTCATATACTAAAGCCTTTTGTTACGAAAAGAAATAAGATGAAAAACGCTTGTAATCGCTTACAAGGCCCTTACGAGACTAAAGAAGCCGATAGCACGCTGCAACCCGAAGACCTAGCGCCCAGAAAAATGGTTGTAAGTAACCTTTACAATTGCATATTTCGTGGATAAAAGTGATTTGTATTCCAGACGAGACGAGACGCGATGTACTCTCAAAACACGTACACACCGTACGCAGCCCCCTACACTCAATACTCCACGTCCAAGCAGAAGCAATTGGGAAATTACATCATCCGGCCGGACGTGAAATTCCGCCGGTTGCCATTTTACGATGTCCTAGCCGATTTGTTGAAACCTTCTTCCTTAGTTCCTACGAATACCCAAAGGTGAGTCGACCCAATTCGTTCGCATGAATATTCACCGTACATTAAACCGTTCCAGAACGCAAGAGGACACCTTTTACTTCCATCTGACGCCCCAACAAGCCGTCGACATAGCCAGATCGAGGGACGTGCGACTGGGCGTGAAATGCGAATACGCCAAGCAAGTGCAAATGAGGTTTTGTTTGCTGGAAACCACCTGCGAGCAAGAAGACTGTTTTCCCCCCGAACTCGTCGTTAAAGTCAACAACAAAATGTGCCCTTTACCAGTAAGAATCCACTGACAATCGTCGAGGAAGAAGACCGATTTGTACTTGTTTGTTTAGAACCCGATACCGACCAAAGCCGGCGTGGAGCCCAAGAGACCGCCCAGGCCCGTCAACATCACGCAACTGGTGAAATTGAGTCCCACCGTCACGAACAACATCACCGTTTCATGGACTTCGGATTACAGCAGAGCCGGTTACACGCGAGGCTACGCTATATCGATATCGTTGGTGAACAAACTCAGCTCGATGGATTTGCTGCAGCGATTGAAGAACAAAGGCATCAAAAACCCCGATTACACTCGAGCTATAAGTAAGTCCAAAGAGTTACATCTACTGGACTTAGACCTCCCAAATTGTACCACTTTCGAGCAGTTTGTAGTTAGTCTAATTGTACTTTGCAGTTAAAGAGAAACTAAACGACGACGGCGACGGTGAAATAGCCACTACATCTCTGAAAGTGTCCCTGATATGCCCGTTGGGCAAACTGCGAATGTCGACGCCGTGTCGCTCGTTGACGTGCACGCATCTGCAGTGCTTCGACGCCTCGTTGTTTCTGCAGATGAACGAGCGGAAATCGACGTGGAATTGTCCGGTGTGCGACAAGCCGGCGCTCTTCGACAACCTGGTGATCGACGGATATTTTACGGAGGTGCTGAGCGCCATGATGCATTTGCCGCACTGCAACGAGATACAGGTGATGAAGGACGGGACGTGGTGCGTCCAGCAGCCGGGGAAGGACCTGGCGGTCGAGATGGAGAAGGCGCCTTCGATAGCCGTCGATGATTGTTCGGTCGAGATCGTTGTTGATGATGACGGTGAGAGATGTTAATCGTGTAGATTAATCGATTGTAATGTGTGTTTTTTTATGTAGAAATTGTAAGTTCTAATGGGGATAAATCGCCGAATGGTAAGAGTGCAAAGCGGTGTATCGTGGATTTGACTGGGGATTCTGATGACGATGATTGCCCACCGGCTACTAAATCTAGAGCAGCTACACCTGGTATGTTATTAACAATATTTATCTCCTACAAACGAATATCTTCTTCTTCATCATCATCGTAAGTTAGTACTGTGTAGGAGCAGTTGAGAGAATAAGAATCAGCTTTCATACTATCTTGTACCATTTTTCTTTGGCTAGTTTTGCTAACTGATCATTTGGCATTTTATAGAAGTGATCTCTCTACACTTTTATCCTGCTTCTTGTCCATCTTATTACATCTTGCGAATTTCCATTGCGCATAACCATTTCTGTGGTCATTAACATCAGTTTCATTAAGGCAATTAACCGAATTTTTTGCTATAGATTCTACGAGTATACCATCGAGCGATTCGACTGGCACAACAAAGACCTCGGTGTCAGTTTTGAGCTACCCGCTGAGCAGTACTTCGGTGATCAATTTGGATAGTCCGTCGCCGCCCAGATCTCCTGGGGACGTTCCGGCTGAGTCGCAGCCGGAGGAATCGCAAACGTTGTTGTCCAATATGCCGGTCAGTAATGGCAGTAATGGTAGTGAAGAGCCTTGGGTGGTGAATGCGAATTCGTTGCATTGTTGGGACGTGGAGAATTCGAATGATGCAACAGCGGATTTGTGAATCGTTTCGATTGTGTTATTAGAGTTAGTTTAATTGTAATTTTGATAAATGATTATGTGTGAATAGGGTATCTCCGAGTTCATGTAAACAAAAAGAAATATATTGGGAGGTTATCTGGATGAGTTGTGTGTGTATGTAATTAAGTAATTTTATTTATAAAACTATATTTAAGTAGATAATTATCGCTTAAAAATAATGTAATTTTCATTATGTGGTCATTAAATTATTAGATGGAAATGTTTGTAATAATTTGTTGCGATTTTTAAGTAAATTTACTATTTTCAATTTTAATTAAATCGTTTCATTGCGCTAATTTTATTTCGATCATACGAGAGAATGAAGTAAGAGTTACTTAAATAAACTGATAACGAGACTCTCAGCTGCACAATTTAAAATTAAATAATCTCGTGATATGCAATAATAATCGGTCTTTTACTTTTTAATTTTCCAACCGCAAAAACAGAAGATTCTACAGCAATCAATCAATTCTACGTCAACAGTCGAAAGTCCGCCATGTTCGCATCGGCTGATGCAATAGTAAAACTGCATGCCATATCGGACAACCAGCTGGAGCAGATATCCGTGTACAAACCGAAGAAATCCGCGTCCCCCGTGAGCCACCTATCATGGTGCCACGACAACACCTACATCGGCATCCTGCAGAAGGATGCCCATCCCCAAATCGTCTCCACGAAGGATCGCTCCAGCGTCAACCTGGTGCACACCATTCAAGCCTTACCCCGCGTGAGCGTTATCCAGTTCAAGCGGCACACGAAGAGGAGCATGGCGCTTGGAAGCGCCGACGGCGAAGTCATTTTATACGACACCAAAAACCGCAGCATCTTGAAGAAGGTGTGTTGTTTGACTAGCCCTATCGTAACCATGGACTTCAATAGTAAAGACGAACAACTGGCCGTCGCTTGCGACGATTCGGTGCACCTTTTCGCCGATCCTGACGGTGCTAATAATTTCGTAAAGCGCGCTTGCTACGCGGAAAATTGCTCGGTGCTGAAGTACCATCCGCAGTTGCACAATTTGCTGGCCGTCGGGTACGAAAGCGGTCGCGTGGCTATCAGAGACACGGAGAAAAACGAGGTGCTCGTCAACTTCCACAAGCACTGCGCCTCCATCAGCGGCATCGATTACTCCAACAAACAGAAAGCCATCATCACCACCGGGATCGATAAGAAAATTTGCGTATACGATTACACTAATTCGGAATGTTTGTTCAGGATCAACATGCACCAGGGCGTCACCTGCTGCAGCATCAGCACCGACGAGGTCTACCTGGCCGTGGGCCTGGAGGACGGGTGCATATCCATATACGACGTCAGGGATCCGCTGAAACCGATGATCACGCACAACGCTCATAATTCCCCCGTCGCCGCCATTTCCTTCGAAAAAGGGCCGAAATCGCCGGACGGGCCGCCGCCGGGAAAGTCCTGCACCACCCTCGCCACGACCCGGCTCGAAGAGGAGACCGAGGGCGCCGCCATCGACGAACAATTCAAACAAGACATCACCAAAATGATCAAGCACCATATGGGCTACTTGGACGCGCAGCTCCAAGAGCACTGCGCCAAGTTCCAGAACTTCATCGCCAGCGAATTCGAGTCCATACACAACGCCATGAGCCGCTGGGACGTCTTCAACGTGGGCGACGGCTCCGAGGTGGCCGAGGCCATCGGCTCGGCCAGCTCCAATTCCATCCGCACCGCCAAGAAACCCCATTGTAATTAGTCTTTAATAAATACTTTAGTTCCTTTACAATTTAAATGGCATGTTTTGGGGATACCCGGTATACTAGTACAATTCGGAGGTGTTGGGATTTTAGCGAGACCTGGCAACAGCGCGCCGGAAACGAGGCGACGAAAAGGGAAATTCCGGGAAGAGCGGCAACGTCGCCGTCGAAGCGAGCCTGCTTCGATGCGAGAATTCCATCGGAACAAAAACCTCGTCGGTTGTTGTTCCGCTGGAAAGCCTTTCATACGAGCGAGAGAGCAGACTGACTTTAAAAAAGTCTTTTCATCTCCTTAGAGCTGTATCCTCGTTGTAATACAACATATCTGTTATTTGCCGGTTTCTTTTGAATAAAATACGAGTTTGGCGTGTAAACTGAACTCCGTTCGGTGGCGAAATACACACTTTATGCAACAAAAAAGATTATAGGATGATTCCTCGTTTTTGTAATCGTTATTTACGCACCTTGCTTTGCCCAATTAGAGGAATTAATTCCGTTTCCTGCACGTATATTACGAATTAAACGAAGGGTTTTTATCGAACCTAATACGCTCACTTATATCTATTTAAATCCATGTAAATTATACTTGCTAAGGAACCAAGCATGTTACAAAAAGTCGCAATAACTAAAATGTTAACAAATGAAATAAATTTCATTTTTTGACAGTTTTGTTGACTCATATGACGTTAATTTCCAATGCATACTCATAAAAATGTCAAAATACCTATTATAATTTCTGACGCAACAAACCAATCATAAAAATAAAGTGTACACTTAGTAAAATCAAATATTGTAATCCTTACATATCTATTCGAGAATAACACTCGAACGATTATAACTTATTCATACAGGTTTCATTAACTTTGAGTGTATTATTATTGCTAAGTGTTTAAATAGATAGATGTTTTCTACTTGTACATAATTATCCGAATTCATAATTCATAAGCAATATTTAAGGAACCAAATTAATATTTCAACGCTTCAGCTCTACACAGTGTACCCAAATAGTAGACGTAAAATTGTGGAAACGGAAGCTTTTTCGCCGACTCGATGCTTTGCGATAAAAAAAAGTTAATACCCCAACATGAAACTGGGGTAAAATTAAATTTGTTTAGATTACACGATGTTGTTTTGTGACGTGTGATGTGTAGTATTCAGTCGTTTGGAGTATTAATTTCGAATTGTTTTACTCCGCACCGTTGCCGCTCATACATAGGAATTTAATACATTCCTTAAATTAAACAAAAATTAAGAATATTAATTGTTATTTACTAGTTAGAAAGTTCATTTGTTATATATGAATAGTATGTTGGAGGTAATTGGTTTGATAAATTTGCGGAATTCTACTTGAGTATAACGTAGAAATGGTTTTTATTTGTGTGTGAATTTTGTTTAGTGATATTTTCATGTAGAGTTGGCAACATTGCGTCGGATTCCCTGTGTTATTGGCACTTCGTGAACGTTCGGGTAGGTTCGTTTGAAAACTAAATCGTTCCCGTAGTCGTTTGTGCCTTGGTGCTTGCCGTTGACTTTGTGGAACGGTATGCGCGAGGAATGATTTTTGTGCCAATATTTATTCTATTTGACCGAATTGTGCGTTACCGTATACCGAAAGGCGTTCATATTGTTCGAATTTAGCATTTCGCGTAGCTGTGATCGAGTGGCCTGTGTTTTTTCGGTGTGATTACGTTTAACCAAAGAGGATTATTTGATACGATTTCCAGGCAGGATATACACGCATTCGGAGCCCCTAAAGCTGGTAAGTCGAACGTTGAACGCTTTGCGCGTCGATAAATCTTTGTTCTGCATCGGGAGAATATTGCCGTTTATTTATTTCTTTTTGTTATTCGTCGTGTGTCTCTTTCTCTTTTGATGACGGTGACGCTGTCTATTCGCTCTATAACCTGGAAACTTTTCTCGCCGTCTCTTTCGTGCCTCGCTGCGTGCCCGTAAGGCCGTCTTCGTCTAATGGTGGAACTCGTTTCGTTCATTCGATCGGACACCCGAAGCCATTTTGTAATTGTTTATTTTTATTTATCACCGCCGATGATTTCGCCGCATTTGCGTTTTTACCGTGCAGTTGGGAATCTAACGGCTGCTTAATTCTCATGATAAACGTTTCCGATGACCCGCTTGCATTTTCGCTGGGAGAATTTCACGCTGGCTTATTAATGGATCGCCGAAGTTTGAGAAAGTTTCCGAATTGGGAATGCTTTCTGTAGGCACTAATGGGAATAAGTCGAGAGATATGAATGTAACTCTTAAATTGCCGCATCCGAACAAATCGAGTACGTTGTGTGTCGGATTGAAGAAGGTAGGCGAGCACTGTCAATTCGTTTAAAATAAACAAAATAATTAACAAGTCGAGTGGTTAGTAACGACAACGCGTAGATATATCGTTTGTAAAGTGTTTAATCGTTTAATTATGGTAAATTATAGTGGGCGTTTAACGTTGACATTTCTCTTTTTTTTTGTCACTAATTAATCCCACTTTATCAACCAATCCATGAAGTAGGTACAATTATTCCGGCTGTCGTACGTCAAATTTGACGGCACGTCAATGCCTACGCGATCCGTTATTCGTTATTCTAATTAATTAGGCTAATTGCGCGTACGTTCGTTTAGTAGTCAGCGATTAATTACTTTTTATCTTTATTAATATGTAGGTACATATTTAAGTAATTCAGAGAACGTTAATGTTTATTGTAGCGGCAATCCGAATGTTTTATTGTTTTAATCGTAAATTCTTTGTAAATGCGTGTTTTCCCGACGGGAATTGTTATTTGAAGACTTTCCCATTGTATCAAATTTCTCTTTTTTTATGGTCTCAAGCGTTGGATGTTTTCAGCCAAAAACTAAAGAATTCACTTGATAATTTAGGAATTACAAAAAACCGCATATCTACACCCCTTTTCACATTTTGTACACCCCCTGTATCTACCCTAAATTCCTCCCTGCTAAGCCATGTACTGTTAAAGAAGTGCAGACATATTTATACAAGTTTTTGTTCCAAAAATAAATCGAATAACATGCCAATGGACTTTCCACATGTATTTAAGAAACCACATCAACCAGACAACGACAAAATTGTTTTCGACATTTATTTCTCACCTTATAATGATACGTTAGATATAAAACGCAATATTTAATGAAAAAAAAAACACCCATTTATTTCGGTCTTTTCAGCGATGATCATCATGTTGTGATCTTTATCAGCCAATACACGGACAGCTGCGTTTATTTTATTCCCGGCCCGAGTTCGCTTGGGGAAAAACTGAAAAATTGACCGGCATTTGGCGAGCAAATTGCGAAATTCGGTCGTTAAAATATTTTACGACGTTCGCCGATACAATTTCCGGAATGAAATGAAAACGTTGAAGAAAGCCATTTGTTTTTCCATTGCTCGAACGTTCGTAAATGCGTGCTTGATTTCTGTTTGCTGTTCGGCCGGTTCGAGCAAAAAAATAATAAATGTGCTCGGAACGTTCGGGGAGGAAAAATGTTGAAAGAATAATTTTATTGGCTTGCGAAAGGAAGTATCGTTATTTCCGGGTTGTTTTGTTCCCGTGAATCGTGTTTTTATCCTATATAAGCTATTTTCTAAACCAATTGAATGCGGTTTGAATTTAGGATTTAAATTTAATCAGAGTGGGTAATTTTTATGCACAAAACTATAAAGTTATATTGGTACTTACAAACCAAGATTTGTATGTATTACCTTTGTTAAACAGTTGGGGTTTTTCCAAATCTCTACATCAAATACGCTTCAATGCTTAAACATAATTTAACTTATCATGCATATTCAAGTACCCATATCAAACATTTCAATCTATTATATGCCTTTTTGGTCGGATTGGGCGTACAATTTGTGATAAAAATTATTATTATCTAACTAAATTCGGTCAATAGACATGAGAAAACGAGCGATCTCCGAGAAGGTAAGTAATTTATGATTAGTCAGTCGAGCATAAAAAATTCAACAAGTCTAAAGATATTATAATGGAGATAAACTGGACAGGTGTATTTCGATATTACAAACTAGATTATGATTGGAATATCGCCTTGAGAATAACATTAACATTATTAAAGTGTAATTGAACGCGCGCTGGATTTGTCGGCGTACGCATGTACGAGGGCGATTCGGTAATTAATTACGTTTGCTGTCGCTTTGTTATTTTAATGCGTTCATATACAAAATTAATAGGTGCGATTATTATTCGTAATATTTCTATCGTGTAGTTAATTATATCTTTATTACCTATTAAATTGTTTTATTAGCGAAACGCTAATTATAGTTTCTAGAGAATTGATTTTTTTCTTCTCTCTCCATTATGCAAGTTATTTTTAAATGCAACTTATCACTTAGCACCGTTATCGCAACGATCTCGGAGCTACTTAGCCTCAATACGGAATTAAGTATATAGTTCGGAGAACATTTCTAAATAATTTAATTGGCGGTTTGCTGAACGTAATAATCGCGTTTCGAAGAGAGCGATTATTATTAGCGTTGCTGCTACCGGTGTTTATTGTTCTTCTTTTCTCCTTTGCGGCCTCCATTTGCCTCTGCCACTTGCACATCGGCCGCCGTGAAATTTCGAAGTGCTGGAAACGGAACGCATGTTTTCAGGACAAGTAGTAGGCATTTCCCGCGAGCAGAATTCAATTCCCACTCGACCTTACTCCGGCTGCTTTTCATTCGATTCACGGACGAAACAGTGTGGAAAAATAACCCTTAAGTACCCACTTATTTTTTTATCTTTCCTTATTCGAGCCCGCTCTGTACTAATCGTGCATTGTTTCGAATAGACGAGACAAACTTGCAATTATCTATAACACCCATCTATTGATTATTGTTTGTACGTTTAGTAAGTGCTTTATTATTGAAGCGAAAACACCGGAAAAATGTTGTTAATGTCTATTTAATTGGATCCGGACCTGTGGTAACGTGCTGCTAAAATGTATGCTAATTTGATTGATATGTAGACAAATAACGTTTCACAATAATTGCGAAAGGCCAGTAAAACAGATGGAAAATATTCACAGTAGTGGGCTTGTTCGAGCGATTATTTTTAGACGGGCTCGGTGGGAAGAGGATCTTCGGATATATAAAAAAAATGAAAATAAAAATAAAGACTAACGTTGAGTGTGGGTGAACTCGTAAATTCATTTAAAATAGATTTATAGACGATAAAAGAGAATTCTCAGCCGACACACCCGAAGGTGAGGGGAATTTTTTTTCATTAAAAACATTCCTGAAAATGATGTATTGTGTATAAATACATACGAAATGGTCCTGTTATTGGGCGTAAAAGCGTCGAAAATCGCCGAATCCTTAACAAGTTTATCAAGTTAGATATGTTAATGCAATGTGTTACTTTGAAACTAAGAAATTATAATAAAATGTACGTTAAGGAGGATTTAACAGTGTTTTAATGTGCGGAATTTTACAAAAATAATGTATTATTTTACTGGTTTTGTTTCACGGGAATATTTTCGTTGTTTCTTTTATGACGGAAATATGCGATATATGCCAGAAAAATGTGGATATGCGGAAAGAATTTCCGGTTTGTTGTGACTTCGTGTCGAGTACGAGAATCATTCGAAAAATTGCTATTTTATTTTTCTAATTTTTTACGAAATTAATTTAGCTTATATCTTGGTATTCTATATTGTTTACAGGGCGAGTCAAAATTATGCGAGAAATTTAAAGTTGTGACTCCTTTTATATTTCAAAAATATACTGTCAAATAGGCCTGTATAACAATTCCTTTTGTTGTCCTTTTGTTGTTCCTTTTGTCCTTTCCAATATTTTGAAGGTTGAATATTGCAGCCCATTTCTAACTAAAAATGTCTATGCTAGTTGCGTAGAATACCTTCAAAAATGTAAAAAAAAAATTAAATGTGTAACATTCTGTTCGGAATTCCTGAATATATCGAATTATTTGTAATTACAATCTATGAATATTGGTAAAAATACACATAAATGTTATTTATTCCATTCTAGGAATATTTTCGAACCAAGCGCTATTTATTCAGCTGATAACAATTTTAAATAAATTGTCGCTTTGTTATTTGGTCGACGCTTTCGGTCAAATATTTGTTTAGATTTCGAAATTTAATCGACAACTAAACTATTATTATTTCATTTCCTTTTTAATCATTTTTCAAAATATCCAATTCGATAGATAACAATCACGTAAAATTATAAATTGTGTGACGAAAAACGAAAAAATTTGAATTAGATATTCATCGTTATCTGTTGAAGTGGATTTTGAAATTGATTTTTAATTACACCCATCCTTTTATGATATGATTAATGATTATACATTTTTGTTTCAGAAAGAATTCGGCTGATCGAGTGTAAGTAAAACGTTCAACTTTTACGTAATTATTAAAGTCTCCTTAAAATATTCCGTTGAATCGAAACGGGTTCATTTTTTTTCAACTCAAAACGTTTTCGCCATTACACGGCGCAACGTAAAATTCGAGACGACCAATTAGGCCGTTAATTATTAGCTTAATTGAACGAAAACAGGATAAAAAAAGCGTAATTTTATACCGACGTTGTTAAATAACCTGCAATTCGTTTCGGTAGAATTGTCGAGGGTTCCTTTTCATGCTAATGCGAATCGTCCATCGGCCAGAATAATATACAGGGTGTAACCAACTGATTTTATAACGCACAACACCAGTAATTGACGAGTTTCATTCGAAAGGGGGTTGTAGAAAATGTTCGTCTATACAGGGAGCATCGTGGGTTATTGTTTCGTTTGAATTTTTTTTTGTATGGCACCCTAAAAGACAGGAAATCGTAAAGAATTCTTGTCGAATAGAGGCGCTTTAACGTCGCCAATGCGATAAATGACTAATGCTTTTTGTTCGAGTGGGCCCACCCACGGTTCACGGAAAATTTCCGTCCGAAATTTCGTGTCTTTCTCCGATATTTACGCTCCTTCGGCTCCGAAGGCAATTCGAAAAACGTTAGCGATTAATTAATCTTCTCGCGAGTAGATAATCGTGAAATTCTCGGTACCTACAGGGTCATGTTTTCCAATCTTATAAACTAGCTTTGTAATTTCTATTGGTACATTTTATATTTTATAATTGAGTAAAACAATTTCTAAATCACGTGTTTGTACAACAAATTACCGTCGATTTAGCAGAAATGCGATGTCGCAATTAGAAGATAGGAATAAAACGGTTAAATAAATAAATAAAAGAAAACCGGTATATCGCATTCTCGTTTTCGAACGGCAATAAATAATGCAACGAGAATTTTGTTATTAACTACGAACACATTAATAATTTATTAATAAATAAACGCGTCGTTATTTTCGTCGATAACGATCTATCATGAACCCAGGCCAAAGTTGTCAATTAATCATTATATTTGCTGGTAAATTCGCTTTCATTTAACGAATTTCGACAAATCGCGCAAAGTACACGTAAATTATTCCGATGCTATTATAATATTTATACCAATCGTTAATTATAACTGTATACGATTGCTTCTCCAATTAAATCGATTTATATAATTGACCACAAAACCGTATAATTACACAATTCTTACTGTTTTATAAGTATACTACTTTGTGGTCCAAACCTGAAATCCTAATTATAATAGTCCTTATAAAGCTTTCGGATGTTCCTTTTAGTGAATCATGAATGCTTTACTAATGAATCAGGAACGTTTTAGAAGTGGACTGTGATTAAAATTATTAACGAAGAACCATAGAAATTTCCAATTATATAAAGAGGTTTCCAACGATTGTTTCATTAATATAACATTGTCCAATTTTCGATTCACCCTCTAACGCGACGATTCCGCTCGCTCGGCGTAAAATTAACACGTCTTTTCGCCGTTAATTATAGATTTTTTCGTGATGCCGGTAAGCAATTTATTCGGTAATCGTTTCGGAAACGCCATTACCGATAACCGACTAATTATTCGTGTTGTCTTCTTGTCGAACTCGTTTCGAGTTAAACCGGTTCCCGTACGTTTGTACAATACGTACACGTATACGGTGCAGGGGGGTTCCCGTTGCGTGCATGGGGTGGGTAATGAACCGTGCGAAGTATTCGTGTTGATGTTATAATGCCCCCTACTCGAACGTGTTCCCCGTCATTTGTATTTGTGCCGATCTATTCATACGCGTTCGAACAGCGGACGGCGCAGATGAGGACTTTGTTTATTCAGAACACGGGGTGGGTTTGTAATTCTAACCAATTTTTGAGTGTGTTTACGCCGTTGGTTTTTTTACTTTTCACTTTTTTACTTGTTTGCTTTGGCCGACCAGAATTAATAAGGATTCTCGTTGTTTGGATTACCTAAACATCTATCCCCTTTTTGTGTAACAAACATTTCGAGATTAAATCATGGTCATCTGGTTAGATGATATTAATTAATTTCTTAATGATAGCCGGGCGTTGGTTTATTTGATTGTTTCTGGGAACGAGGGGCGGGTGATGGTTTTGAACTGGGTTTGAACTGGGTTTTGGACTGCGAGGACGGTATCGTAAAGTTTATTGCGTTCGAGGGAACGTTTTACCTGTGAAAGAAGAATAGCCGATAAGGCCCGATAGCGAAACGTAATCCATTTACATTCCGAAATTCCACATCTCGGCTCTCAAATGGGTTTTTAATGTTCCGCACCTTAAAAAAAGGATGAGTCTTTTTTTGGGGCCCCATTTGAATGGTTTATATGCAGATTTTTTACATTCGTAATACGTATTTTACAACGAGTTGATTATCCACATACTATTTACTTATAAAAGTTATCAATTCATGCTTTCTATTTATCTTTTGTAAATTTGTTTTAGTCAGAGTATTATTGCCTATACAAAGATATCAATCAAATTAAATTAAAACATGCGCTTCCTTCATTATTTTTACTTATCTAACAGATAAAATACAAATCAAACGATACACAGATAAATGTGGAATTCTAAATTAAAGTTCAAGTATAAAACATTTGAAGATTTTGTAAACGAGTACTACTCTTATATCAACACCAAAAGACAATTAATTATTTGAAAACCAACGGCACGTATAGGTTTCTAATTCGTTTCCGTTTTTGTTCGCACCCTTACAGCAGGGGATTAAAATGCAGTGTGTGGAGTCGAGGGGCGCCGCGGGGCAGGGACTCGGCGGCTCGGCCCGCCGGCTTACCGGATGGCGACTCCAATGAGATCGAGCTCGCAGGAAGCGCCGGGCCACCGAGCGAGGGTGGCGGACTCCTCAAGGAGCGCGAACGCCACGGCGAAGTCTTCGGAACATCACCAACACCACCACCATCACCACCATCACCACCAGCAGCAGCAGCATCAGCAGCAGACGAACGCGAACAGCCCTGTAACCGCCACCGTTACCACCAGCAGCAGCAGCAGCGGCGGCGGCAGCACCGCTGCGTCTAACGCCACCTCTTCGGGGGCCGGTAATAGTTCGGTCGCGGCTCATCATCATCCTAACGCGACCAACGCCAATTTCGAATACGATGACAACGAATGGGATATCGGTAAGGGTTTGTATTTTTTTTTTTTGTTATTTTTCTTTTTTACCAACCACCTATAGGTTCTTCTGAAGTTGTTAGGTGGTGATAATACCAATAATACTCGGTTGTTTTGGGGTTGTAGGTAATTTTTGTTTGTTTTTATATACAGGAATTGGTGATTTGATAATTGACTTGGATGCAGACATAGAGAAAACGAACGACCAGTCGGGGGGCATGGCGGCGAACGCCGGTTCCGGTGGAGCGCAAGCCTCCAAGGCCCAAGCGACGGCTAAAATGCACATCGAGCATTCGGCGACCGCCGACAAGGGATTGAAAATGAAGATCAAACGCACCAAGCCGGGCACCAAGACGTCGGAAGCGAAACACGAAATCGTCAAGTCCAACGAACAGAACGGCGTCGCCGATCAGGGCGACGCGAAGGGCGTCCAGAAGCACGGCGCGAACGCCGCCGTGAATTCGGCGACGAACGCGCTGAGCCCGTCGGGCGTGGCGGCGGCCGCCGCCGCAGCCGCCGCCGCCGTCGTTTCGACCACCAAGCGCGGTTCGAGCGGCCATCGGCGCGACAAAGTTCGCGACAAACACTCGTCGTCGTCGTCGAATTCCTCGAATTCCTCGTCGTCCAGTGATAAATCTAGTTCTAGTAGCCAGTCGAAGGGGGCGACGGCGACGGCTTCCGCTGGTTCCGGAACCGCCGCCGGCGCCGTCAGCGCGCCCGAAATGAACGGTTTAGTGCGGATCAGTGCGCCGCAAACCGGCCCGCCTCGGTCGGTTTTTCCGGCGAGCACGGGTCCCGGACCGCCGGGACCGGCAGCCGCCGGGCCGCCGGCTAGCCCGGCGGCCGCCACCGCTCCGGGTTCGGCGTCCAAACCGGAGCAGGCTAAGGTGTCTTCGGCGACGACGACGGCGCCCGCCGCCGGCGGTCAGGTGCAATCTTCGAATGCCATCGTCGCGGAAGAGAGCAGGAGCTCGTCACCGACTCCGCCGCCTACCAAGAAGATCAAAACAGAATCAAAGGTATGTCGATATTGAATTATAGTAAAATCTTTCTAGTTTGGTTCAATTTGAGCTATTTCGACTAAATTAACTCCATAAAAGAAGTTGAGAAAAACAATCAAATATTTACTACCTAACCTAACCTATACTAGTAGATGTATGAATAAAAAAGTGCTAAAAAGAGGAAGTAACTGATACATACACACACTTCTTTCTCTCTCGTACTTGTTGTTTTCGCGGGCCATCTCTGCATCATGTTTTATATGTGATATACTAGTAAACAATCGAGTGCTTTGATATTACAAAATAACAAAATTCAGAAAGTGAATCTAATCGATTTGGCAAGTGAAGCGTTCATACTCGTGTGAAATTTTAAAAATATCACACAGCCAATTCGTGAATAATATTTTCCCTAAATACGTCAAAATTATATTTAATCAATTTATTCACGTGTGAATACACCCAACGAGCGTTGATTAGGTCGACATTCCTTTGGCGTAATTCATTCAACTCGGCGTTTCATTAATTAAAAATTGCATATCACGTGAAATTAGTTTTTAGAAACGTCGTTATGATCGTCGACAACGTAATTCCGGTTCGCGATTTTAAGCGAAACGACCGCTTATGTACGTTTTAATGTCGCCGCAATTAATTACGGTAAATCGCCGCATTAAAATTATGTGCATGTAACATTTATTCGTTGTTTGGTTAATTTATTTCAACGCTTTGTCGAGCGCAGGACTCGACGGATATTAATTAATTATTGATTGAAATTAACGTTTATTTTACGTTGTTGTAATCGTTGTTTCCGTTGAAATTTATTTACATGTTATCTTTTATTATAATTGGATTGATTATTAATGATTTATTATTTATATCTAATTACATATTATTAAAAGATAATTCGCTCGTTGGATATAGTATGAAAATATTATATTTAAGTATCTTTAATGACTAATGAAAGTTAATTATAGACGCCTAATTTCGTTTTAACAGGTCGATAGGAATTTGGTGCTGAATTAATTAAAAATTAAACGTATCTATACAGTTAAATTTATAATATACATATTTAAATCTTGGAATTTTAATTTAGGCAAATTGATATAAGATATTGCCTCACATAAGTGGCTTGAATAAAAAATTCTATAGGTACATTTATCAACATATCCACGTATACTTGAATTATTAACAGGGCACACTACGTTTATTTCATTACATCGAGTGCTCCGTGAGTATACAAAACCTCTTTTGTACCGCGAACTTTTTCAACGAAAATTCAATGAATAGTGGACACCCGCAAATCGACCCCCATTTATTTTTCTACGAGCTTACGTTCCGTGCCCGCCTGCCGGACGGCTTTATCTGTTAATAATCTGTGTAACTAGGGTGTGACGTAAATCTGAAGTGTTGTGCGTCGAATAGAAAAGGGCGTTTAATCGCCCTATATACACGAAAACGTTCACCCTTTTTCTTACACAAAACGTCGTAAACATATCGCTCGTCCCTCGTATACACTGTAGTGATGACGTCACTACTGGTTCAGCAAGAACGCACTATATCCTATTAGACTTTAGTGGAACGGAGTAAGTTGAAATTGGGGACGATTAGGGTGATTAGTGGATTTCGCTCAAACTATTCCCCGCATTCGGACTACGTAGGAGTCGTGTAAACAAGATCCCGAGGGATGCTCGAAGGAGCGCCCGCTCTCTCTCCCCCCGCGTATGTACCCTCCAATATAAACTTACCCTCCGCAATAGCTGCTCGTAATCTCGGCATAAAGATAAAGCCGTTTGATGCGGTGGGCGTGCGTGCGCGACGGAGACGGAAGAGCGTCGCGACGGCGAAAAGGGGGCTGCAGGGGGGGCGGGGGAGGCGCGCACCCTCGGCGTTTAAAGAGAGAGTCGCTTTCGAAAGATGCGAATCTCGAGTTGCCTGCGCTTTGGAAGCCGAGAATTTTATGCTAATTCGACGGTCGAAGAAAAGAGACGGGTTCGAATATTTTTTTTTTTCGACGTTAAATACGGGGAGAATCGGAAATTTGTTTGGATAAGAGCGAATGCACCGAGCTAGCACCGTGTTTTCGATTTAGGTGAAATTGGAATTAGAAATCGTATAGTCGAATATACACATAAGTGCAAATTTGTAAGCAATATGGGTGCAACAAAGACAATTTAGGTTATTCTCAAAGGAAAAAGAGTGATATTGTGGAATTGCAACTTTCTCACTAATCACTGTTATTGTAATAACCTTTCTTTGTTCAACTCATAGACTTGATCATATTGCAAACAAATTTGCACCTATCTGTATATGGATTATTCCCCATCTAAAATATACATACAACAATGGCATTATCTTGACAGAAAAATGAAAATCTACTGCAATCTAGTACGTTATCTCGGCCTCTTGCGCGTTACCGCATCCAGCCATCATTATACCGCTTCTTCACACATTTCTTTACAATTTATTTTTAAATTAATTTGCGGGAGAGAATATTTTCCAATTTAATCGGCGTTCGTATACAAAGAAGAACGAAACGCAATTTAGCCGCCGAATCGTTTAGGATTTAATATACCGCTACACCAACCAGTTGCGAATTAACCATCCCCCTAGATTGCAGTTTGGAGAATAGAGCAGCAGGTGCGGATACGCGACGTTTAATCGTCTAATAACAGCCGTCTAGAGGGCGACGACAGCGATGGAGCGTTCCTCTTCTGGCGCGCCTTCCGTCTCGCTCGATCTCTTGACGTTTGTATGATACGGGGGGTGGGCGATATGTGAGAGGATTAATCGGTGGCCGATATGCACGTATGCTTAGGACGCGTGCCGAACGGCGTTTTCCCTTGCGGTTCTTCGAGTTAAAATTCTCGATGGCGTTTCCATCACCGTTCGGTGTCGGGGCTGGTTTTCGAGGGGGAGGTGTTATTTACGACGAGCGGGTGATCTATTATTAATGTTCAACCCTTGGTGGGATTACCAACTCGTTCGTTTTCCGGCTAATTTAATCGAATTTTAATCTGCCTATACGAGTTTCCCGAATTGGAATTTATGAATTTTTATAGAGAGAGATTTATTGAATTAAACATGCATAATTTAATAAATCGCCTTTTTTGTATTATTTAACATGTGTTTACGTTGAATTAACATATCCGACGGAACACCTTGCATATGGAGAAAAATTAATCATAAATTAATTATCGGATATTCTTCGGTAGATGGAATTGAATAAATTAAAATACAGGTCATTAGAATTGAATAAGTTATCTCGCTAAAAATTCGCTGCATCATAAATTAAATATTATTAGGTATAGAAAAGCTCTTCATTAGCATAATGCGCGCATAATTTACGAATTATTCTTCGCACGTAATTAATGCCGAATGGCAAAGTAGGTCGTACGAAAAAAAGCCGACATTCTGATATAAAATTCTACGAGTTAAAAGGAACATTCTCGGTTAATTAAGCATACTTTACGATCGAACATCTCAATTCGATAATATAACGAATGTATTTCAACTACGCGTATACTTGCTTAATTACGGTTATTCAACTGTCTAATCAAAGTAATTGGTTTTCACAATTGATAGGCGAAACAGAAACGAGCGGTTCATGTATCCTATATACCTCATGTCGGCATGCAAATTAATAATTTTCATTTAACGATCGCCTTTTGTGGATGTTTTCAATGGAAAACCTGAAAATTATCACAACCCATTTCCAGTTAAATTGCAGGTTATGAAGTTTGATAACCAACAAAATTAATACAACATTACGGTGTATCAAAGAGTAAATTACACCTTTAGCACACTTTTTATTTCCTCCATATTCTAATATTCATTTATTTTTGGTCTGTTGAATACAACAAAGAAATTACTTATAGCCTTATACCGGCACACAACAACAAACACGTTAGATAAGCGAATAGAAAATATAAGGTACACAGTCGGGGATAATTAGCATAAATTAATAATGCATCAGGCCTATTACATGCGTTATCGTTATCGGTTAATGGTAGTAAATAGTGATGAATACTCGTATGTATTATCAATGAATGGTGTAGATGCTTAGCAAATATTAAAATGCAAGCAAATGGAAATGTGGAACTGCAGGATGCGGCTCTATTAGGCGAAATTAGACATGCAGGTAAAATTATATTTCGCAGGAATTAAGTCTATGAGAACAAGTTACTGGCTGATAATCTGCATAATGTGAATCGATTTAGTGATTAAGGTTATACATTTTATCGCGCTAAGTATAGGTAGATATAATGATAGGTATTTTATTTTACTAATCTTCGACGTTTTCAAATTCTGGGGATTTTTATAACATTAGGTAGGCAATTGGAAATTGGGCTCGACCATTAAACCAGGTAGGTTCACGAATAATCTTTTCACAAAAGAAACATTGGGCTTATAATTATTTTTAGAATAGTGACTGAAAATTAAGTATCATTTATAAGAAATATATTCTATTGAATTTTTGAATATGAAGGGTTTAGGTTTACCATTTACTCAGAATCCCAAATCTTGGAAACACAATTTACCTACCTACTTGGATTTACCAGTCTTCTATTTTATTTTATAGAAATTTTTCTGCTAGAAGGGTAAACGCCAACTGCCCAATATTATTCAGTATAATCTACACCAATGTTTTTCTTATTAACCCAATCATATTGTATTTCAATTCATAAAAAATGTGGTATAGAGTTCTGATAAGAACCTTTATAATAAACCTTTATAGAATTAAAATTATTAATAATCCGAACCTTTAGTGGAAAGGATTATATTAAAATGCTATTTACCTAGTGCAATTTACATTGACCGGCACTGTTTACTTAAAGACCGTGTTTGTGATATCTACTTGAAAAATTTGTTAATCCAAAACCGGCATATTTTTAGCGAAAGAACTACACCTATACAAGGTTACCAGTTTCAGAGCAGTATAAGTTCGTGACCGTTTACACTGGAATGTGTTCGAATAAAGTATTAAAGACATATTAATGTCTGGCCTAAGAGAACTAATTAGT